GTGTCTGTAAACACGATAACTTGAGAAGGCTTAAATGGACTGACTTGATATTTGGTAGTTGGGTAGGTCTTGATGAGACCTCAAAATGATTAGATTTTGGGCCCCCTGGCGGCTTGTCATGGTACTGCAGCAGAACTTCCGGTTTTGATATCTCATGATACAGACAAGCTAGGGTAACCAAATTTGGATGGTAGATAGCTCTTGTGCTGCGAATAAAGTGACATGAGTTTGAGCCCCCTAGTTGCTTGCTCTAGAACTGCAGGGGGGTTTAAAGGACAAATGTTTAAAAGAGGATAACTCAAGAACCGATTGATGGATCATCGTGAATTTTGGTATGTAGGTAGCTTAAGTGATGCTTGACATAATGAGATTACAATTATGCAAATATGAATGTAATTTGCATAATTAATGAGGAAATTCTCTAAATCAGCTGCATTCCATTATTGGAAGTCCAAGCTTGTAACATATGTTATTAAGAACGAGAGAAACACAGGCAGATATCGATTATGCAAATGAAGATTAATGAGAAAATGTTATAATTGCATGGTGGTAACTGCCTTGAATTTCATACTTGGGGTGTTTGAAAGTTAAGTGAAGGTGAGCATAATTAAACATAACTTACTCAAATAAGGACCACATTTGCATAATTTATGAGGAAATGCTATGATGGCATTCTTTGTTAAGATAAGACTGTCTTTTGGTGTAGAATATGATCAACAGATATAATTCATGCAATTGAGGATCCTATTTACATAATGAGGGGGATTAATATATAATTTCTTATTCATAAAGGCTAACTTCATTTGGCGAAGGTATGAGATCGTGGAACTCTAGTTGTAATTGAATCAACAATTCAGCAAAATTGCTGGGATCCATGGGAGTGATTTTAAGCTGAATAAACCATCCATTCATTAATTCATCCATCCATTCATTCACTCATTCATTCGAATTCATTCATCCATTCGATCAAGACCAGGCTTCCCAGCGACAATTTTCAATACTTTCAAAATGAAATATAATCCAAGTCAACATATACATGATCAAGTTTAATGAGAAATCATTCAGTTTTTGTAGAAGGTTTTGACATGGATTTGACACAGATCTGTAGTATATCTATTCAGTCACTACCACTTCAGTGAACCAAGTCACTAACAAACTGGAAAAACTGGTTTTTGAGTCACTATCTCACAATGGCCTGATGCAAATATCTGAGTCTGATTTACATATTCACTTGCCTATGCTGAAATTGATTGAAAGTTTAGGTGTGAAATAACTCTATTTTCCCAAGAATTTTGAAGCAATCGGGATTTCTCCTTTAAAATGGAGATTGTCCTGTAAGAATTCCCACTTGTCCTAGGGCAAATTGGAATCCCTATCTCCCCTAGGGGAATCTGGAATCCTCCTAGGAGAGATTGGAATTCAGAGTCCCCAGTTTTGTACAAAAGATTCCAATCTCCCTAGGGGAGATAATTCCAATCTCCCCTAGGAGGATTCCGGATCCCCCTGGATTCCAATCTCCCCTGTGACATATGTATGTATGAATCAATAGGATGAACTTCCTCATAATATACAAATGTTTGTTCAGTCCATCTGGTTATCCTAATTTCGCATGAAACAAACAAAATACTAAATTGTCTGTTCCAGAGCTTGCCCGTGATCATCTGGAGAGAACAGGCCTGTTTAAAGTGGTTGAAGGGATCATATCACCAGCACATGACAAATATGGCAAAAAGGTAAAGAAACTTTTGTCTTACTGTTTAAAAAACCAAGTATGAACTAGAAAAAGGTAACATTTTCCAAGCAAATGCATGTTTACCTTTGCACATGGTCTGCTCTGTTAATTCTTACTCAAACATATTCACATCGATGTTTACATGGTATGTATGTATATGGTGACAGGAGTCTAAATCCCTCCTACTATAAAATGGCAGCATTATGTAACCCAGCCTGGTCATTGACCAGTTCAGAGGTCAGTGTTTGGAATGGAAGAAGAAACAGAGCAGAAACAATATGTTTTCCTTCGGTAAACATAATAAAGTACATTTTGTACATCAAAATTCAAATGGCAAAAAGATTTTTTCTATCAACAACTTACCAGTATGATGCATAGATTCAAACTTCTTCAATACATGCTGATTTTATTTACTTACAGTAATGGGGTTGAATTACCTCCATGCTTACAGTAATTGGTTGATTCCATTTTAATACAATCAGGAAATTATTGGCAGACACTGATTTAGTTTGCAGACTTCTATTTTAGTGTGACATTGGAGAGTTGCTAAAGAAAAGAATTGTGGTTTTCAGCTGTGTTAATACAATTTTCTGATGAAGCAGCATTTCATGGAATAGCTATTGAAATTGTACACTTGCTCCCCAGGGACTGGTGCCCAGTACAGACAGGGTTGCCATGGCACAACTGGCACTTTCCACATCAGACTGGGTTAGGTAAGTATACCACTCTTTTGGATTAACTTCCAGGAAAAGAAAGTGAAATTGATTGATTGATTGATTGTCAGACTCTGAGCAAAATGGTTTGATAGCATGAAGGTTCCATCTGTGTTGGTAGTAATCATAGTACAATGTTGAACTTTATTCCAACACAACAAGGGCAAAGAGAGCATCAGATTTTCATGGACTACTGTTGCCTTCATCCTGATGAAATCAACAATGTTCATGGAATATTTATCTATTTGTCCTCAATGTGTTGGAATGAAGTACTGTACAACATTGTACTATGGTTTGATATATGTTACAACATAGTACGTACTTAGTTAAAGTTACTACAGGTCTATTATGATTTTAAATTCAAGATGGAGTTCAAATGACTTTTTAAATCCTCAGAGTGGACAGCTGGGAGAGTGAACAGAAAGGCTGGCTGGAGACTGCAGTGGTGGCCAGGCACTTGAAACGGCAGGTCCAGAACAAGTACGGCAGCGTAGTGGACGCCAAAACAGACGGGCCGTCAAGGAAGAGGAGGAAAACACGACACAATGGTACGTAAGATTTTGTGGTTGATGTAGTAAAGAATTCAGTAAAGTTTGAATCTAGCATGCCCATAAGTGTAGCTCATAGTAGCCACATTAATCATGTGTTACTCTCTAATTAAATGTCTTGCAGCAAATAACAGAGATGAACCTGTTGGCAGCAGCACACAGGTGGCATCAGGTGATGTGCAGCTGAAGCTGCTATGTGGTGCAGACTTGCTGGAGTCCTTTGCTGTACCCAACCTCTGGAGTGATGAACATGTAAGGAGTATTTCTTTGCAATGGCATAAGAAACAAAACTTTGCTAAAATTCTACTCTGATATTTTTTCTAGAGATATGCTTACGGTGATGGCCATGACATGCCTGTCCTTTAATCTGTAATTTCTAGTCGCTCACAGCTGTAAATATAATAAATTTCATTCCAACTTGTCAGCTGCAGTTTCTTGTTCATACACATGTACTACTATTTGGGGAAATTCCTACATAGTTGCCTGTCTGACTTGTCTATTTTTCTCTCCTCAGATCAAAGAACTAGTGTCTGAGTATGGCTTAGTTGTCATTTCAAGAGCTGGGTCTAATCCTGAAAAGTTTATATATGAGTCAGACGTGTTGTCAAAATATAAGGTATGCAGCAGCTCAGTTATTTCATACTTTTAGTTATACTTACCTTTACTAATGGATACCTCAAATTCCTTAATACACAAAATATATCCTGGACTATGTACATATTACAGGTTTGATTTCTGAATATTGAAAATAGCAGAGCTTGCCTTTGCCTTCTTGCTTATTTTAATATTCAATTATGTGTACAAATATTATTTACAGTATAATCAATGATCAAGTCATGATGCTTTTTATTCAGAGCAACATCCATCTAGTGACAGAATGGATTCAGAATGAGATAAGTGCCACAAAGATCAGGTAAGAAAAATAAAGTGTATCAAGTAGAACAGTATCACTTTTTCAAAGGGAACCTTGGCTTTAGATGTGTCATTTTTACCTTTGCAGAAGGAAAAACATATTGTTTTTGCGAGGTTTCTTCTTCCTCTTCTTCTGTAAACAAATAAGGTCAATGACCTGGACCGGATGTGACTGTCACTGTCACCATGGTAACTGGTGCTGTAGCAGACACTATGTGGTTGGTGTTGGGTTACATTATGTACATGTAGCAGGACATATATATGAATATGTTTGAGTGAAAATAAACAGGTTCTGTAGTTTGTTAGGTTAAACCATGTTAAGGTAAACATTTTGCAGTTGCTTTGCAAATGTTGCCTTTCTAGTTGTCATATTCTGTCTGTCAGGTGTTATATGTTTGTACTTCCAAATTGTAAATGTTGTGAATTTGCAAAGTGATGCAAATTGTTCTATTTGTCAGGCGATCCCTGAAGCGGAAGGAAAGTGTGCGGTACCTGGTCCCTGACGCTGTCATTAACTACATCAAGGAACATCAGCTGTACCAGCCAGATACCGAGACATCCTGAGGAGGCAACATGTGGACATATCTGACACAGAACCGTTATAAATCTAGTTATACTGTAAGGCAGGTAGAAGAGACAACATACTATACAATATGAGGGTCATGCAAGTAAAGAGCCAAACCCATATTTGAAATTCCCACTCTTCCGACTTAGACGGCTTTTATGAATACACGGATGTTTCTGGAATTCAAAATGTGCTGCAGTAATAATCTTAAGGTATTTTTTGGCATGTTATATCAGTTTTGGCATCATTATAAAGCTTGCAAGGAAATTTACGAATATTTTAAGTTGGTTAATTCAAGTGAATCAAGCATTTGCCTTCTGTGAAAGTAGTTCCATCTCATATTTTATTGTTACATGTATAGTGGTGCGCTCAAGTATGCCAACAAGAGATAAAGATTATTCTAAAAGAATTGCACAAGTCTGCTTAATGCGTGCTCATGATAGATTGACACTTAAAACAAAAAGTTGAAAAACTTTTTATGAAGTTCAGAAGACGAATTGTGTGGCCTTAATATAATGTATTCTTGTATTAAGTCTTATTGCCCGAAGTACTGGCATAGAAGGGTTGTACAATGTACTGGCTTCAAAAGCTTCAAATTTCAGCATTAATCTTTCCTATTTGCCTTACTTCATGGCAAGCATGTATTCTGATGATAAGGAACTTTTTGTGCTGATTAAAAGCAATAAAATTCCCATGATTTCCTATCACATTCTCTGAAAGTTAGCTTATCAATAAAAAAAGATATTGTGTTTTGTTGACTCCAAACTACTGCAACTGTTATGTATGGGGTGTGTATGTACATGTGCAGGTACTGTATGGGTAAACTAGCAAAGTGGGTTGAAATCTTAACTGGGAAGTGCACCAAAGTTAATTACGTACAGGCATGTCAGCATGAAAATAGATGGGCAGATGGATGGATGGGTTGACGGATGAATGAATGGACTACAACAAGTATGCTTAATCTCCTGAGACATTATTTTTTCTTACAGAGCAACAATTTGCCACGGGGATCTGACCATTTTAAAAAAGAAACATTATCAAGCTTATGATCTGCTATAATATTTGGAGACATCATACCATAAACAACTTGTAAAAATGCCCTGCCTAAAAATCGCAGAGGTTGAATAATCTTAGCTTTCTTCTTGTTTTTGATCTACACATATTTTCATAATACGTTTGGCATCACCTAGCAACCTTTGGAAATGAGAAAATTAAGGTCACCGATGTAAGTTAATTGGAGAAATCAGGCACTGATTAATTCATAATTATAATTAATTACTTTGATTAGGTTTCATGCCGTGTTGTCATGACAGTATGGTGACCCATATTATAGTAATGAAAAGAATTAATTCTAATAAAACGAAAAAAAATTTGCAGAGAATCCCTTTTTGCATTTTTGTGTGAGCTCCACACACTGAAAATTAGTACCATAGTGTAGTAATATAAGGTATAATGTAACACAATGAGACCACGTGTTTATATAAAATAATTTCTGTGCCATAATTACTACTATATTGAAGTATAATATCCAGAAGAAGGTTCACGAGCAGAAAAAAACATCTAAACGATGATCTACTTTGTGTGACGTGTGTTTTGTAAAAAGTTCAGTATCACACCCAATACATACCTTTCCTGGTGTGTGCGTTTTTCACTTCACCTCATGCTCATCATGTTGAACTATGAAATGGTCCCCCAAATCATCCTCACTGAGTCACACAAACGTTTTTAGCAGCCAATCGTAAGCTGCTTATACCATAGGTCCTTGAGTGGCATACCATGCCATTTTAGACGTGTAAAGAGTGTATTAGAAACTTCGCCGTCAGAGAAAAGAGCAGACCAAAGACGGTAGTAACGATGAAACGATCATCGTCATTCAAAGTAGCCAATCACAAACATCTAAGTTTCATACGTCATTGAGTGGCATATAATTCATAGACGTGTAAAGAGTGTTTTATAAACTTCGCCATCAGAGAAGAGAGCAGACCGGTAGTAGACGGTATATGTATGTATGTATGTAAGTCCCATAGCCTTCACGGCCGTAGGGGCATCATGACAGCCAGCAGCATGTCTGGACTTGTCACGATGACTCCTCAGGCTTATAATCTTGGCGGCGCCTATCTCCTCTCCAAGATTTGGCTGATACAGACGGAGTTCGCCAGGCCTCCGTCCGGGTGAATGATGTAATTTACCATGTGGCATATACAAGACGGAGGTCGCCAGGCCTCCGTCCGGGTGATTTGAAGTGAATCACCAACTCCATACATTAGTATTTGTACCATCACACACCGGGGCATGCCCCTACTCTTTTTCGAAAGGTGTGGTGGGATCTTTAACGTGCTCGAGGTGTGGCTCTCCTCAAACACGGGACCTCCAGTTTACGTCCTATCCGAGGGACGTCCCTAGCCGAAGCTAGGTACTCATTTACACCTGAATGAAGTGAGGAAAATCGTGTAAAGTGCCTTTCCCAAGGGCACAAGATCGGTGACAAGGTGGGGTTCGAACCCACAACCTCTGGGGTGTGAGCCGAACGCGCTACCGACTGCACCACACGACCCCACATAGTAGACGGTAGTAACGATAAAAAATTTGAACGATGAAACAGTCCCTCCAATCATCAAACTAGCCAATCATAAACATCTAAGTTCCGTACGTCATTGAGTGGATTGCCATTCGTAGACGTGTAGATAGTGCGTTAGGAACTTAATTCGTCAGAGAAGAGAGACAACCATCGCATCTTGCAGCAATGATGATAGTCGGCCAGGCTTTGCGTGTGGCCGTGGCAACGATTGTTTTCACCCAGTTTGTTCTTCAAGCATCAGGAGCCATTGTCATGACCGGGGTAAGTTTGCACTGCTAACTTGCATATAAAACTGCTGCTTTATGCTGAAGTCTCATTTCCATACCGGGGCCTGGCCGGACAGCTTTCGGAAACGAAAAAAACGATGTAAAAGAGAAAAAAACACATATGAAAAACAAATTCATATCCAGTTGCTTGAGTAACTGCTTTTTGGCGTATCTTATTACCTGGATGTCTTACCTTCATCGACGAAAACATATATGATTTAGAAACCAATTGTTGGATACAATTTGTGTTATGTTCTTAATATGAATCATTATTTTTCGCTGATGCAAACAGCCCGGCCGGGCCCCGGTTTGGAAATGTTATCAGCATTACTTGCTTTAATACTCGTTCCTGGAGCAATACTGATGTCATATTTTTAATACAATATTGTTCAGTCAATGAAGATTAGACATCCAGGGAATGAGATACAGGAGAACGCAAGCAACTAGATTTCAACTCAAGGTCTATCCATTTGCTTCAATAACTGTTTTTCTGGAGTATTTAATTTTTGTCATAGGTGGTAATGTTGTCAAGGTCTGGGCTAATTTAATTTGGCAGCAATATCCAAGCAGTTTATGATAACGCCACAAACCTTTTCATCATATACGCTTGTAACTTGATATGTTCCGGGTAATATCGTCACCTGTATGAACACGCGGTTCACGTCAAGCGAGTCATTAAAACCGTTATGGACCGTAAGGAGCTATTGAGGCCTGCCTGAACACCTCTTCGTTCACTTTAACGACGTTCATCACTACAAAATCCAGGGGGCCAACAGATGTAGTCGGCTCTCAGTTCCTTGACCTGGGTTAAGCCACTCCTATAATACCATAAATGGCCTTCTAGGCGTGACTACATACTGCTCAGGGGAAACGTTGATTGTCAGGTTGCCCCCGGGAGTGACCCGCGGCGTACAAGGAAATTCATAAACCATTGAATACTTCTGATTTTTGTTTTATGTGTCTTTCACTTGGGAGGGGGGCAGGCAAATTTTAAAACCTAATGGATCAAAAAGACATTTCATGACTATTTTACTTTATTAGCTTTAAGTTTTGTGCTATACTGGTATGTAGCAACCTCTGGGATACATCCGTTACGTGTGTTATGGACCAAAAAACAAGATATCTCCTCAAAACTACTCACTAAACAGCAGAAGTCGTGTAGCCTGTACACCGGGCAGCCATTTTGTTCAAAACAAGTTCTATTTGCCATGCGTAGAAGATAGAAAGTCCCTTTTTACTAGCCCATCCCACCCATTTCGCTTGAATTGGTACAGTCCGTCTGCCAGGAGCGCACCGCTGTGGCCTTGAGGTCGGCAGGCAGGGCACGTCAACTGTCACTGCAGCTGAAGGGTCGAAAACAGCCCAGGCATTTTGTAGTGTAAGTGTTGTTGACGTGAAGAATACTGCAGCTGCAGTTACGTTATGTTCAGCCGCATGTGCAAAGAACCGATAAAGACCACAATTTATATTTGTAATGAGTCCAGGTACTGAAATTGCCTATAATTATAGCAAGGTGATAATTCATGACAGTGAATTACACTGTAATCGCCTACGTCAAGTAACTGATTAATGAGGATAATTTCTCACTTATAATTCTCAAGACGTGGGGTTCTGTAATTACCTCTCTAGTCGAAACTTATTGACAATTTAGGGCAATTTTACGTCCAAATTGTTTGTTAGGCAGCACGTTTTCGCCCCAATCATTTGTTTCACTGATGTGTAATTGAGAAAGCGCATTAGAATTCACATCAATGCGCACGTTGAAATGTTTTTCGTATCCCGAAGCAAGGCGAAACATGTAAGCTGGCCTTGTGGTTAGGGTTGTTGACATAAAATCTAAAAGGTTCTGGGTTAGTATTCTTACCAGGCCCCAATGTTTTGCCGTTGGGAACGGCACTTAAGCTTCAACGTCTATTTTCTCAGAAGACTTAGTTGAAGATTAGGGGACGACTTAGTTGAAGATTAGGGGACGACTTAGTTGAAGATTAGGGGACGACTTAGTTGAAGATTAGGGGCGACTTTTTTTGAAGATTATGGACGATTTTGGTGACGATTATGGACGATTTTGTTGAACATTAGGGACGACTTTGGTGAAGATTATAATTAGAGACGTCATCTTGGATAAGACGTAAAGCCTTCACGAAGGTACACTTCTGAAACAAATTGCAAGCTGGTCTTGTGGTTAGGATTGTCGACTTCAAATCCGAAGATCCTAGGTTCGAATGTCTGGCAGACCTCGATTATTGTTGTGTCCTTAGGAAAGGCCGACTTTTCGATCAACTCAGGTGTAAATTAATACCTAGCTTTGGTCAGGTTAGGTTAGGGACGTCCTCTCGGATAGGGCATAAAGCCGGAGATCCCGTGTTTGGGGAGAGCCACACCTCAAGCACGTTGAAGATCCCACCACAGAAAAATAAATAAAAACCTTTTTAGAAAAGATTAGGGGTCCTTCCTGGTGTGAGTGGTTTAAACATAAAGTCCGGTCTATGGATTGACATCTTAAATTTACGTATACGTGGAGATTTGCATCAAGCTTGTGCAAATTTATAACGTCATGTCCCACATATATTTTATTATGGTGTCTCATAAGCCCACACGGGTTGGGCGCATAACGCGCAAGACACGTTCATTCATTCATTGTTCATTTATTCATTCGTTCATTCATTCGTTCATTCACAGGTGTGCCAAAATGACGTGGAGTGCATTGCAGAGCGAGGTCAGGGGTCATGCTGTGCGCCCTTCGTCACATCCGGGATACTTTCCGGCATCCCCGTCTGCAAACCACCTGCCACTGAGTGGGACGACTGTCACCTCATCACTGAAGCGTTAGTTTAAACTTAATTATCTC